TTTTTCTCCTAATACGTAACAGGGGTCATTAAGCATGAATTCCTTTCTGCCAATGGCCCCTCTCTTGATGAAGTGGGGTCCAGAGCCGTGGTTGCTCCCCCTTTTCCATGTTGGAGGGGCAGTGCTCCCCGTACATGCTGAACAGCCTCCTCCAGCTCTTCCTTTTCTTCCTCAGGGACTCCTTGTTTGCAGTCTGTGCCCCGCCCCCCCCATCCACCCATCCACCCATCCCTGGCGCCCACACTCCCTTCTATGCTTCTACCCCCATAGCTACTACCTGGTCATCTTAGATGTAGCCTTTTCTTTCTTTCTTTTTTTGGCCTCAGGGAATTTCCTTTCTTATGAGCTTAGCTATTTAAAAGTTAGTTTGCTGAATTGCTCCATCATTGGTAGGCATTTAAAAAAAAATTTTTTTTGGAGAGATTAGGGTGGGGGTGGAGAGGAGGGTGGGAGTTGTCAAATTGTTAGAAATGCAATTTCTTAATTAATAAGAGACACTGGTGAAGAATCTGTTTGAGCTGTGTTATTCTCGCTACACATTTCCCAACACCACAAGACTTCACTCCTTGTCTTGGAAATATGGGGCAATCTTTGAAGACAGAGTCCTTTGTAAAATTTCAGGAGACTTTGCAACTTGGCTCTGGTGAAGAGCTGGAGTCTTGGTTTTATTGATCCTTCACAGCAAACTGTTTTTTTTTTGTTTTTTTTTTTTAGAGGAGCCAAGATTTTTATAGAAGCGAAAGTACAGCTCTCTGATGAGAGGGGGTATCCGAAACTGGAATGCCCCCCAAATTGTTTTTCTTGATGTGCTCAGGATGGCATCCAGGCTTAGACACTCCCTGACACCCCATTCCCCTCCACACACCAGATCGGGAGTCCAGTCTGGTCCTTCCTTGCACGTGTTCCTCAGTGAGTGTGGGCATATTTAATTTTACTCTTTAAGACTCTTTAAGATAAAGCAATTTTTATCTTTTCAGCAAGAGGCCCATTCTCATATCAGGCTTCACCCTGGTAGAATCAGTGCCTGCAAATCTCTGATCGCTGTCAAATTAAATTAGATGCCTCCTTTGCCTGGTCATTGATTTTTTTCTTCCTTAATTTTACCTCAGTGTTTCCCATTTCAGTTGTTACAGAGGAAGTTGATGAAACAGTTCTGTGTAATCAAGAATGGCATTCCTTTTTCAGTATTGTCAACGCAGAGCTTATAAGGTTCAGGGAAGAATGAAAACAGCCCGGTGAGGAGCTGGTGTTTGAAAATGGAGACAGGGCTTAGGGTAGGAAACCATCAAGGAGGTAGTTGAAGGGTTCAGGGTTTTCACGGAGGAACTCTCAGAGCCAGTAGGACTTAGGAACAAAGATACCAAATGATGGTGGGGCACACACGTGGTGTGTGAGCTTCCCGTGGCCACTGTAACAAATTACCACAAGCTTGGTGGCTTTAAACAACAGAAATTTATTCTCTCACTGATCTGGAGGCCAGATGTCCAAAATCAATTTCACTGGACCAAAATCGAGGTGTTGACAGGGCCATGCTCCCAGCGATGGCTCTAGGGGGCATCGGCCCTCGGCCTCTGCCAGCTTCTGGGGGCGGTGACATTCCTTGGTTCATGGCCCTTCACTGCCATTTCCGCCTCTGTCTTCACACAACCTTCTCCTCTGTGTGTCTGTATGAAATGTCCCGCTGCCTCTGTCTTATAGGGACACTTGTGGTGACATGTAGGGCCCACCCAGATAACGCAGGTGAATTGCATCTCTGAATCCTTTACTTTTTCCAAATAAGGTCACAGCCACACGTCCCAGGGATTAGGATTTAATGCCTTGGGGACATTATATAACCTACTACAGGCAATAAAAGAGCTAAATAAATTATCCTTGTAATAATTGTTGCTCTGTTAAAAAAGGCAGGTCGTTTTACTGCTGGGTTTCAGGCTATTGTTTAT